TGGCGGTAGCGCCAGCCGGCAGCGCGGCAAGGCCGTTCCCTGGGTGTGGTCGGCCTGCCGTGTGACCTCGAGTCCAGTCCGCGTCCGTGCACGCCCGGATGTCCCCCCCCCCCCCTTCCACCCTCGGCCTCCCTCTTCAGGGGTGCGTGGTTGGTTTGTGCCCTGTCCTAATGTTATGTTCACGTACACTCCTTATCTCTTGGGTTATTTTTCAGGCTGTTATTTATCCGGGTTTACCGGATAATTAAGAGCGGGTTGTGAAGGATATGGGGAAAAGAGAGGAGGGGCCAAGGTCGTTGTCCAGGGATCCAGCGCGTGACTTCAGCAGCCATGTCCTGGTCATTTAAAAAAAAAATACGTTCAAACCGGTGTCATTGGAGTGCCACGAAGTCACCCTCCCCTCATGAGAATCGCCTTTTGCCAGATATACCTGAAACGTCGCTGATATTTTATCGTGTAAAGTAAAACAGCGCTGCACTGATAAACTAAGTGTTCAACTGCTCAACAATTGTAAGTGTGCAACTGCAAGTTGAATACCTGCAAGTGTGCAACTCCGTAGTCGTACACTTGCAAGTGTTACACTCGGTAGGTGTGCACTTGCAAGTGTGCAACTCCTCGGTTGAACAGTTCCTTAGATTGGACGCTGACTGTGTGGGAAAGTGCTCAACCGAGGAGTTGCACAATTGCAAGTATTTAACTTACAGTTGCACACTTAGAAGTGTTGAGTAGTTGAACACATAGTTTATCAGTGTATTTGCCGGATGTGCCGTGCACGGACCCATGGGTCTTGATCAATTATTACCCTATGCAAACTCATAGCCCCTGAGAAAAATTGGGTTTTAATAGTACGATGCCTCCTAACGACAAAGTTCGATCTTCAGCGGCACGGTTACACAAAGTTCGATCTTCAGCGGCCCGGTTACACAAAGTTCGATCTGCGGCGGCCCGGTTTACACAAAGTTCGATCTACATTCCGGCGGTTTCTGCAGCGCAGCCTAAATGTATTCATACTCGTCAATATTGGAGATAGAAAAAAAGTAAAAACTGCTTCATGTTTGTAAAAGATCAAAGAACAACATACTCCAAAGAAAAAATTGAATGCTATCACAACAAGACTGTAGTAGAGGTCTAAACTTGCGGCTTCGGCGAGCGGCGAAAAGCAGATCGAACTTTGTGTAACCGTGCCGCTGCACATCGAACTTTGTGTAACCGTGCCGATGAAGATCGAACTTTGTGTAACCGTGCCGCTGAAGATCGAACTTTGTGTAACCGTGCCGCTGAAGATCGAACTTTGTCGTTAGGAGGCATCGAGTATTAAACTTTCCCTGAGGCGTTCAAACTGTTCAGTGGTTGTAAAACCGCCACCAAAGGTGGCATATCTACCCACTCTGTATACTGTTTTGTT